CCCCCACTATGGTATTACAGTCTTTGCTTTCAATAGTCATATATCAAATTAAGACAAATACGTGTGTGTGTGTGTGTGTGTGTGTGTGTGTATACATACCCCTTATTCATCATTTCTGGGGTTCTTCATTCCTTATTATAGATTTGAGTTACTATCTTATGTCATTTCTCTTCAGAATAAAGAGCTTCTGTTAGTATTTATTGTTGGGGAGTCTACTGGCAACAAATTCTTTTCTTGTCTTTATTTTTTCCTTTTTGTGGAGAACGGAGTCTTGCTATACTGTCCAGGCAGGTTTCGAACTCCTGGGCTCAAGCTATCCTCCCGCCTCTGCCTCCCTGAGAGCTGGGATTACAGTTGTGAGCCACTGTGCCTGGCCTGTTAGCAATAAATTCTTTCAGTTTTTGTTCATCTGAAAGTTGTGGTGTGTTTTGGTAATTCTCCATTTAGTACAATTTACAGTCCCTCGTCTTCCACCACGTATCCTACTTTTTAGAAGTAAGCCTGATAATATGTAGTGTATTTATTTCCTGAATTTTATCTGCAAATACACACACACATCCACGTACACACTCTAACACACTTGCATACACATACCACAGACACACCCAGACATACACAGAGACATCCTTCTTAGATGATTGGAAACAGAACTTTGTTTTCTTGACCTTTCATCTTCCCTCAAGCTAAACCATGTTCATGTCTATGACTTGGCTTCATTCGTTGTTTCAAGGAACATATGTTTGTTTCAAGTAAATAAAGCAAGAATTAGAGATTTGTTTCTCGGCTTTTCAAATACAAGATTTCATAATAGATAACACTCCTTTCCAGAATAAATAGGTCTTTGTCAAGTCTGAACAGGTTGTCATTGACCTAAGTCCAACAACTAGCTCGTTTTGCAGAACAATCCTGCACTTTTGTTTTTGGCAAGTATCTACTGAGTGTGGACTCTAGCAAGTCACTAAAAGGCTTTTCAAACATTTTTGTGTGATTCCTTAGTAGCTGAGTCTGTGCCAAGATAAGCAATGGTATTTCACAGTGTAAAGAAGATGGGTGGAAGGGCTTAAGAGCTGGAATTTCAGCTCTGACTCTTGTTAGCTGGATGCGTTGGCTACAACTTTTAACACCTCTGAAGTTCATAAGGAATGTGAAAAAACTTTTTATGCCATGTGACTATAATAGCTAAAATATGTTATGCATTGTATATGATCTACATTCTTCACAAATGAACTCATTAAAGCCTCATCACAGCCCTTTACTATAGGATTTCTCATTTTTCCCTACTTTACAGATGAAAAAGGTAAGGCACAGAGGTGACTGTAATCATGTGTGCCTCGTGCATGGAAGAGCAAGGCTTGAACATTGGCAGTGTGGCTTCTGTGGCCCTACCTTTCACTGCTTCGCTCTACTTACAGTGTCAAGGACAGGCGCTTCTCAGTCATGGTGTCACCAATTATAGTGCATCCATTTCTAGCATCTAGTTATTGTGCCTGGAATCACTCACTTTATAGAGAGCCCACAGAGAGGGAGGAGCCCAAAGGATTGTCTGTTATTACAAAGCAGCATTAATGGTCATATATATAACCTGGGGTAGCAGTGTACTTTCCTACCATTTTCAACATAACATCTATGAAAAACCCATAGAAAGCCCAAGCTGCTTCCAGTTGGCTCACAGAATGAAAGGGTTGGGAGGAGCCTCTGGAGGTCAGATGTCAACCTCCCTCAAGTCTATCATAGCTAAGAATCAGGGTGATATATTGGTGGCGTTTGATGAATGGCATTTTGGTCTTGGGACCTGTAAATGCTAAAATCGGCTGGGCGCAGTGGCTCACGCCTGTAATTCCAGCACTTTAGGAGGCCGAGGCAGGCAGATCATGAGGTCAAGAGATCAAGACCATCCTGGCCAACATGGTAAAACTCCATCTTTACTAAGAATACAAAAATTAGTTGGGCATGGTGGTGCGTGCCTGTAGTCCCAGCTACTTGGAAGGTTGAGGCAGAAGAATCACTTGAACCTGGGAGGTGGAGGTTGCAGTGAGCTGAGATCACACCACTGCACTCCAGCCTGGCAACAGAGCGAGACTTCATCTCAAAAAAAAGAAAAGAAAAGAAGAAAAGAAATGCTCAAATCCTGCCTGGGATTAATCACATCTCCTGTGAGTTTCCCAAGGGACCAGCATATACAAGGGTGGCGACTGTGACAAATAAGAATTCAAAGTACCTCTTATCTATTAGCCTTGTGGCCATCACCCACAATGCTTGGTAAAGCTGGTAAGGTGGGTTAGGAAGCCTTGATGCCTAACCAGGGCTTCTCCTCTCCAAGTCCCAATTTTACTACCAAATGGCCATGGAGCTTAAAGAAAGGATATTTCCCAGGTGTCTAGGACCTTGTGGGAAGGGGAGAAGGGAGATACAGTGACCGAGAGAAAACAGCAAGAGCAAGACAGCCCAATTTCTTCCTGACTCAGCCAACTGATTCTCATAGTCCTCCCATTCACTGATAAATGTGGGTCCATCAGTTCTGGAATCCAACAATTATACCATCAGATTACCTGCAACAACTGCTGGCTATCACAGGCATGGCCAGCCTCTTACAGTACAATCATAGTATGATTGTGTGTACACATGTATGTGGGTAAAAAGAGGGAGAGCATTTGAAAGAAGACTATAAGGAAATATACTAAGTGACTATGCTTCAATGTTAAGATTTTAGTGTTTTTCAGATTTTCTATAATAAGCAAAAATTAGTTACCTTTATAATGGAAAATATATTCAATACAATGCAGCACCTAGAATTTAGTCTTCGAATCCGAGAACAACATCAAGTGCAACATTATGCTGTACACATGATGCATGCCAAAGCAGCAGTGCATAAAGGAATCCATAAAGTTTGTAATAAGGAAGACTTCATGAAGAAAGTGTCCTGTTTGTTTGTTTGTTTGTTTGTTTGAGATGGAGTCTAGCTCTGTCGCCCAGGTTGGAGTGCAGTGGCACGATTTCAGCTCACCACAACCTCTGCCTCCTGGGTTCACGTGATTCTCCTGCCTCAGCCTCCCAAGTAGCTGGGATTACAGGCACATGCCACTGTGCCCGGATAATTTTTGTATTTTTAGTAGAGACGGGATTTCACCATGTTGGCCAGGCTGGTTTCGAACTCCTGATCTCAGGTGATCTGCCCACCTCGGCCTCCCAAAGTGCTGGGATTACAGGTGTGAGCCACCAAACCCAGCCGAAAGTGACCTTTTAGCTGAGTCTTAAAAATGGGAATGACAGAAAATCTACTGTTCTTTACCACATTACTATATTTATAGATTTATTGTAGTTTGATGTTTCGTATGGTGCTGGGTGTGACTTTTTTCTCTTCTGCTGAAATGTCAAGTCCCTGGAGTCAAGGATTCTATTTCTTTTCTGTCTCTCCTTCACCTCCAATTTCATCCACCACCTGGGAAATCAATGCAGCAGCTCAACTGAGCTTTTTTAGTTAACCACATTGACATGGTCCAGCTATTTGTCCAAGTCAGACAAAGTGCTCTGAGTTATAATTTATAAGTCAAATAACCAAATTAATGGCAGGTTTTCTTAGTCCCTCTAGCTCCTCCTCTGAGAACGTCTGAGGAACCTTATACAGAGACAGAGTTGAACTCCCGGAGAAAGGAAGACAATGAGACTAAATTTGAAGTCAAGGTAAAATTACCTTTATTTTACTTATGGAACTTTCTGACAAGAGAGAAGATTGCTGTCATAATTATCAATAAATCAACAAATCATGTTTCCTTAATCTGTACCTATTGTCACCTCCAGAAGATAAGCCCATCAAGGCACATAGCACAGACTAATGCTTTCAAGAACTGGGGTTTATAGGATTTTTTTTCTTTTCATCCTTTTCTTTCTTCTTAATGGCAGCTAGAAATGAAATTTGGTTGTGTATGTAATTATCGGTAGGTACTGTTGTAGTAAAAGAAAAATCATTTTATTTGTTTCTGTAATCTGACTTCATATTTAAAATTGGTAGAACAGTATATGGTTCATGTATAAAAAGAGCATGACAGGCCGAGCGCGATGGTTCACACCTGTAATCCCAGCACTTTGGGAGGCCAAGGCGGGCGGATCACGAAGTCAGGAGTTTGAGACCATCCTGACAAACATGGTGAAACCCCATCTCTACTAAAAATACAAAAATTAGATGAGCGTGGTGGCGGACGCCTGTAGTCCCAGCTACTTGGGAGGCTGAGGCAGGAGAATCACTTGAAACTGGAAGGTGGCAGTTACAGTGAGCCAAGATTGTGCTGCTGCACTCCAGCCTGGGCAACAGGGCGAAACCATGTCTCAAAAAAAAAAAAAGAGCATGACAAAATTGCATAGAGCTGCACACACACATGCACACACACAAGTGCGTGAATAACTGGTGAACCCTTAATAGGCTCTGTGGCTTGTGCCAGTGTCAGTTTGTTAGATGTTAACATTGGAGGAGGTTTGGAGAAAGGGGACATGAGACTTTCCATGTCTTTGCAACCTCATGTGACTTAATATAATTATTTCAAAATAGAAGTTTAAAAAAAACATAAGGTTTGGAATCAGGCAGATCTGGGTTTAAGCAACATAACCTCTTGAAACCTCAGTTTCTTGCTTGTACAAATGGGTATAACAATAGCTACGTCCTGAAAATATTTTGAGCATGAAATGAAAATTTGAAAATTGCTAAGCACTGTATAATTTTAAAGTAACATACATTGAGAAACTGAAGTATAATTAATTGTGAATTGTGAATATATGTTGCTGCATAGCAACCCCTGGAGGGGTTCCCTTCCCCTGCCTCCCTGAAAATTAAATATTTGACTGGCTGAATGGTTCTGAAACCATGAGGCCAGGGGCTCAAATGAGCTTCAGCAACATTTATGATCCATCATCAATCCCCAAAGCGTCTGAATATGAACTCCACGGGAACTCCACTGACCTTTAAAGAGTCTGGAAGAAAGTGAGTTTTAGGCTTTTCTTCTTGGAGGCAGAAACAGAGCGGGAACGAGGGTTCTCAGCAGACTTTTCTTAGAGAGAAAGCTGCGTCCATCTGCCAATCTGTGTAGTCATCCTGTATTCAGGGCAGATTAGGACCTAGCCACTGCTGTCTATAAATCCCTTCTGGTTGGAGGAATTGCATCACCATGTTTTCTCAAGTTAGGAAACTGTATGAAATTTCATACTGTCTTGATCAGCCACCTAAAAAAGTAAATAGCAATTTTTAAAAATAGATTCACCTGATTTAACACCCAGGATGTCTGTGGAATCATTAAGTAATATTAAAAGGGTTTCATTGTGGTCCTCTTCAAAAGTGAACATCAGCCTATCCATTTCTGCACCCTGGACTTCTGGGAGAGTGTCATCTCTGAAGGTGAGGACTGTGTCACATGATCAGAGCTCAGATTTGGCCCCTGAGCTCATATTCTGTTGCCACTGACTCACAACATGACATGAACTCACTTCCTATCTCTATGACCTACTTTGCCCATCTTCAGACAACATATTTATGACCTGCACACTATAAAGATGCTACGGGAGTTTTAAGCACATGGAAGTTCTCATATAAAAGAATCCAAATTAGAGTGATTTATTTCAATTATTGTGAACAGTAAACAAGTTCTATGGTTTTTTGTTGTTGTTGTAAAAGAAAAACATAGACAGTGTAGGAGCAGCAGTGGGGATAGAATGGGAGGCCTGTTGGTGTGGAAAGTGTTGAGTAGAATCCAAGAAGCCCTGGTCACCCAACTTCTGGTTTCTTCCTTCTTTTGCCATGTTGTTTATTTAATTCAGACTCCAAACCCATCCTGTTAAGATGCCATCCCCCTCTGTATTTAGGCAACTCACCAAACAGTATGGGTACTGTTAAACAAGCACAAGTCCATGTTAAAATCATCCTTCTGTGCTTTAGTTGTTTTCTTCCTTATTGTTGATTTGTTTGCATATTTAATGAAAAGCATTTCCCACAACAGCATATGTTAACAGTCAAGGTGGTGGAGGAAGCAGAGTAGGAACAGAGGCTGGTCAGATTTCTGCTTAGAAAGACCAAGGCTATGGAAGGAAATGTAAGCAGAATCCATAAAGTCATGAACAACATGAGCAGGAAGAAAGTGGATTTGTGCACTAAATCCCCAAATCCTAGACTTAGGAATGAATTTAGGACCAATAAATGCAGTTAGTGTTTCACACATTGTGTATTATAACCAGAGAAATTGTTATTCCAAAATACATAAGAAAACTAGTAAGAAAAAGATAGGTTCAAAAAAAAAAGGTTTAGATTCATGTCTGTGTGGATCATGGATTATTAAAAGGGGGACAAATCAGTTGACTACATCAACAATAATCATTGCAGCTTGTGTTTAGTGACCGCTGTCCAAGAGAGATGACCAGGATGCATAGAGCATGCAGCTAACTCTGGGTGGCAATTCTGACATCCTTTTGGCCTTAGGTCTAGAACTCAAAGATGAAATGAAACACAGCCAGTCTAGCAGAGTGAATCATAACATTGTGATAAATGCCACCCCTTTGCCCTGGAGAGTAAGTACGCAGAGAAAAAAAAGTAGCTGTGAACCAAAACCATGTATAATACAGTCACTGATACTCACCACCTACAACTGAAATCATGACATGGTTTGATCACGATCAGAGAAATCATTTCCTTTTCTGGAGGGATGATCCTTGCTGTGCTGGTTCTGGGGAACTTGAGAAGCTAAACTTGACAGGGCAGCTGAGACTCTTCCGGAGCCATCTGGCAAGAGTGATGCCCTGTGCTCAGCTCACTGACGTCATCTGGGAAAGCCCTGTGGTGGAAGCGGTTCGCTGTGCTTTTTGGCAATAGTGATGTCACTATTTCCTGTTCTTCACTGGCTGGAAGCTGAAAGCATTGACTCATGGGAACTACTTTTCCTGGGCTGCCAACATCACAGCCTTTTTGTAAGCTGGAAATAAGTCAGAGGCTAACAATTTCTTTTTCCTAAATGTGGACCTACAGAATTAAGAAAGAGCTAACAGTGTTCCTTGGTGCCTGTTAAAGTTATTTAAAGGAGCAGAAGCCTATTCTGTGCTCCCAAAGGTTGAAAAAAAAAGGTAAAGTAACAGAAGCCTTTTCAGGATTCTGAGCAAAAAGCCTCCTAAATTAAAAATAAATAAATAAAAGTTTTTGAATGCAGGAGCTGGAAGGGAATGGAGAGGTGAGTGGAGGGTTGCTATCATTGGCTGAAGGCCAGACATTGTACTGGGTGCTGTGTGTACCTGAGTCCATCTCTAGTCCTCAGAACCTTGTGAGGATGATGTTTTCCGTTTTATCAGCAGTGCCATGAGACTCAGAGGCTGGGTTTCCCCAAGGGTCATGCAACTAGTAAATGTTGTAGGTGGGATTTGAAACTAGCTGTTTACTAATCTGGCAGCTTACTTAACTACCTAACTTATCTATCTGATTATTTATTAATACTTAATATACCCAACCAGCAGCTTATTTAACCTCTTGTGCCCTAAATGTCCTTTTCTGCCAAATGGTGATAAATCATAGCAATTTCACAGGTGGCTGATTAAATGAGAAATGTGTGGAAAGCAACTTGCACTGTACCTGATACCTAGCAGGTTCTTGGTGAATTTTAGTTCCTCATTTAATCCTGTGTTTAAAAGACAGAATGGTCAGTGCGAAAGATGAAAAGAAGGTGAAAGAAGGTCAGATTTGGGGCTTATACAGAATGATCCTATTGTTGAATATGTACCTTACTGCCAAATTATAACAGATCAAGGACTAAATTCAGTTCCTTGTCTTCTTATTACTTTGACTCCCAGAAGTTTTTATTAATATTTCTGATTCTCAACAAGAAAACTGTAGAACTATAAACACATTTCAGTGCTTGCCTTCTATGATATTTGAAGTCTAGTCAGTGTCAGAGCTAACAGGAGATTCAGGGACTCCACCAAATCCTGGGGTAGCCCCCAGCCAAGTTCTCTGAAGTTTCCAGAACAAGGATTCTCATGGTTTCCTGTGTACCACAGCTCTGAGAAGCTTATGAATTATGTAGATTCCCAGGGCCCCACTCTCTGAGATTCTAATTAGGGAAGTGTAGGGTTGGGTCCCGGAATCTGATTTTTTTTTTTTTTTTTTTTTTGAGACGGAGTCTCACTTTGTTGCCCAGGCTAGAGTGCCATGGAGTGATCTCAGCCAGGTTCAATTGATTCTCCTGCCTCAGTCTCTAGAGTAGCTGGGATTACAGAGGCCCGTCACCACGCCTGGCTAATTTTTGTATTTCTAGTAGAGGCAGGGTTTCACCATGTTGCCCAGGCTGGTCTTGAACTCCTGACCTCAGGTGATCCCCTGGCTCAGCCTCCCAAAGTGCTGGGATTACAGGCGTGAGCCACTGCACTCAGAATCTGAATTTTTAACTTACACGTTTGGTGACAAGAATGCAGGTGGTATAAAGATCTCACTCTTTGTAACATTGTCCTAGAGGTTACATTTATAGGCCATGAGGACGTGGGATAAAGGAGAACTCATTATGTTTGATCTGGATTTCTCAGGCTAGTATAGGGTCTGAAGTTCAGGGGAGTGAGGTGGTGATTACATTAAGCTAGGAAATGTATTTTTGTTGAGGGAGCTGAATAAGATGAAAGAGAGAATAACATTAAGATCACCATTGGCCTTGCTCTTTCACCAATAAAAAAATGACATCACTAAAATATTTGGTGGGTCCAACTGGGTACATGGCTTATTCAGCTCAATTTAATATATATTAAGGCAATTGCTATGGGTTATATGAAAATGATTGTATCATCAGGCCTAAACTCAGGAAACTTGAAACTTTCATGGGGGAAACAACATATTTCTAATAATTTATAATATATAGCAGAATGACGTTTCTACAGTAAAAGGAATATATAATGTGGTAGAGAAAGCAGTTCCTCACAAGGACATCAAGGATGGCTTTCAAAGGAGGTGGCATTTGAATTCAACTCTAAAGAATAAATAGGGCTGTGCGTGGTGGCTTGCACCTGTAATCCCAGAACTTTGGGAGGCCGAGGCAGGTGGATCACCTGAGGTGAGGAGTTTGAGACCAGCCTGACCAACATGGTGAAACCCTGTCTCTACTAAAAATACAAAAATTAGCTGGGCATGGCAGCGGGCACTTGTAATCCCAGCTACTCGGGAGGCTGAGGCAGGAGAATCACTTGAGCCCAGGAGGCAGAGATTGCAGTGAGCCAAGATGGCGCCACTGCTCTCCAGCCTGGGTGACAGAGCGAGACTCCGTCTCAAAAAAAATAAAAAATAAAAAAAATAACTAGAACTCTGAAAGGTGGGTAAGACAGAGAAGGGCATTCCAGAATGAGGAAGGGTATAACATCTCAGAGGTCTAAAGGGCCTAGGCTGTCCTGGGAATGGCTCAAGAATGCTGAGAAGGTAGATGAGAGACAGTTTACTGAGGCTGTCGTTGAGGAATGTTGACAGGAGGAGGATGGCACCTGTGTATTAGGAAGCTGACTCTAGTAGACACTGAAGAGCAGGTTAGATGAAGGCAGGCAGGCTGACCAGCCTCTGGCAGTTGTCACAGTTGGCTGAGACATCAGTGGTGAGAGCTTACTAGTAGCCGTGGCAAAAAGAGATGAGCAGAAATTATACCCATTGACTGAAATGTTCTCTGTAGTGCCTAGAACATGACTATTGGAGGAAATGTGTAGAATGAAGGAACGGATCAAGGCAGAGAAGGTAGGGGGAGGAAGCATGATATCAAAGACAGCTTCGAGGTTTCCATCTTGGATTCCTCATGGGATGAATCTGTTGGCTGGATAAAGTACTTAGGAGGAACAGTAAGAAGTAAAGGCTTATGACAGCTGAGTCCAGGTTGGGGCTGGGGTCTCATAGATTGATAAGAGCACCCTATACCCTCTGTCAGTGGGGCTAATGCTGCCCCAGAGGCTGCAGCCCTGTCCGCACCATTGATGCTAGGATAGTCAACCCACTGGCCTTGTAGCTATGTGGCAATTATTTGTAAACTAGCTTTGGACCAAATTTGCTGGGACAAAGACTGGCCTAATAAAGTACTTTTCTGATTTGTGATTTTATTTATAGGTTAAGATTTACAGACATAAAAATTATTACAATGAAATTTATCCATGGAGCTTAAAATCAGATGAAACCAAACAGCCTGAGAAGATTCAAGATGTATGGGCAGCTTCTTTTCAGTGGCCTTGGCACACTTACTTCCTTTACATTTTCTTGGTTTGGGAATGGGCAAAAGTTATCACATAACATGTTTCTCACTTCCTGATATTTTAAACAGAATTACATATTTGCAAATCATTGTTAAAACATTTGCAGTCAGTTTTATAAGATGTTTTTCCTGAAAACAAACTATTACCAATAGTGTTTAGAGTATTAGTCCAGTCTATAAAAGCCAATTTAACCAGCAAGTGAATTGAATTAATTACTAACAATGGTAGCTGGGAAATTTAAGATCTCAGATTAAAAAGACCCTGAAGCTGGGGGTGGTGGCTCACGCCTGTAATCCCAGCGCTTTGGGAGGCTGAAGCAGGATGATCGCTTGAGCTCAGGAGTTTGAGGCTGCAAGCTTCAGGAAGCTATGATCACACCACTCTCCTTCAGCCTGGGTAACAGAGCAAGACCTTGTCTAAAAAAAAAAAGACCATCTGAAAATTTTGAAATAGGCAAAATTGCATTTAGGATCCAGTCTCTTACCTTTCTCTATTAATTTCTCATTTCCACAAAGCCTCAGGAACACTGAGGCTTGTTCCTCAAGTCTGCTGTTCCCCTCCAAAGGGGATTCAGTCTATACAATGTCCTAAAACCTTCCTCTCCTCGTCCTTTCCTCCAGGAAGCCCCCCTCCCAAGACAGCTGATCTGGACTAAAGGTAGAGGCAATCTGAGCTAGTTCACCACAATGCATGAATGATGGGCAGTCTGAAAGCCCTTTAACTCTCCTGGAAATAGTTGCGGTTTTAAAAAAGGGACAGACTGCCCAGTTTTCCAAAGTAATATTGCAGTGGCTTTTGCAGGCAGTGAAAATGGAAAGTAGGAAAAGAAGTGCTAGGGTAGAGCAAATAGGGCAGACAAACCAGCTGTGAATGCGCTGCTAGGATAGTCTCTTCCTGTTCTCCATATCAAAACCCAGTGAATCTCAAAAAAAACAGTTGAGGCTTCCCCTCTTTTTCCCATCAGCTGTGGAGAGGAAGACAGAGCCACTCATTCCTGAGGCTAGTATTTTTCACCCTGGGGCTGCATGGTGTAGAACACCCTGGACTCAGGCTGTGGGTAAATACCTTTGCCTTTATTTCCTTCCCTTCCTTTTCCTTTCCTTTTTCTCACTATCCTCTCCTGCATCCCATTTGGTAGAGAACATTTTGATAATTATTGATTCTTACGTGACATACCTTTTCATTTTATTTCTCATTTCCATAATTTACATAATTAATTAATTAAATTTACAATGCCAGAAAATGCTAAACCTTTAACATTTTATTGTCATTCTTTAAATGAAGAAAGTGGTACGGGTGCTTGAAATCTACTTTTTATTCTCTCCTCAGAATTGGGTCTAATGAGCTATTAGCTGTTTTTCTTTTTTTCTTTCTTTTCTTTTTTTTTTTTTTTTTTGAGACAGTCTCACCCTGTCACCCAGGCTGGAGTGCAGTGGCACGATCTTGGCTCACTGCAAGCTCCGCCTCCCGGGTTCATGCCATTCTCCTGCCTGAGCCTCCTGAGTAGCTGGGACTACAGGCGCCTGCCACCGCACCCGGCTAATTTTTTGTATTTTTAGTAGAGACGGGGTTTCACCGTGGTCTCGATCTCCTGACCTTGTGATCCACCTGCCTTGGCCTCCCAAAGTGCTGGGATTGCAGGCGTGAGCCACCGCGCCCGGCCAATAGCTCCTGTTTTTAAGGAAAGTGATCATAATAGTAAATAATACTTTTACCTTAAATTACCAGATACCCTTGTTTTTTTTTTGTTTGTTTATTTTGTTTGTTTTGTTTTTTTTTAACGGAGTCTTACTCTGCTGCCCAGACTAGAGTGTGGTGGCACGATCTCAGCTCACTGCAACCTCCGCCTCCTGGGTTCAAGCGATTCTCCTGCCTCAGCCTCCCGAGTAGCTGGGAGTACAGGCGCGCATCACTATGCCAGCTAATTTTGTATTTGTAGTAGAGACAGGGTTTCACCATGTTGGCAGGGCTGGTCTCAAACTCCTGACCTCAGGTGATCTGCCCACCTCGGCCTCCCAAAGCGCTGGGATTACAGGTGTGAGCCACCACACCCAGCCCAGATAGCCTTCCTTTTTTTTTTTTTTTTTTGAGACGGAGTCTCGCTCTGTTGTCCAGGCTGGAGTGCAGTGGCCGGATCTCAGCTCACTGCAAGCTCCGCCTCCCAGGTTTACGCCATTCTCCTGCCTCAGCCTCCCGAGTACCTGGGACTACAGGCGCCCGCCAACTCACCCGGCTAGTTTTCTGTATTTTTTAGTAGAGACGGGGTTTCACCGTGTTAGCCAGGATGGTCTCGATCTCCTGACCTCGTGATCCGCCCGTCTCTGGCCTCCCAAAGTGCTGGGATTACAGGCTTGAGCCACCGCGCCCGGCCAGATAGCCTTACTTTAAGAGTTGGAACTGAAATCGCTTTCTACACATTCCTAAAATCACAAAGTAAAATCATTTAACTTTGGGAAAAAGTTAATTTAATTTCGTTCAAAGGTTGCTATCTCCCCTTTAGGGAAGAAAAAAACAATTTCAATAATCGATTGAAAATTAG